ACCATGGGGTGAGGTATCATCAGTATGCTGATGATACTCAATTGTACATCTCTGCCCCTGGTGACTTAAGCAATGCTGTGGGCATCGTATCTTGGTGTCTGGAGGCTGTGAGGATCTGGATGGGGAACAACAGGCTTCAACTAAACCCTGGCAAGACTGAGCGGCTTTGGGTTTTGAGCCCCTCTGGTTCTAGGATTTTGCCATCTTTGGTACTGGATGGGGTCACACAGCCCCAAAAAGACCCTGTACACAATCTGGGGGTCCTCCTGGACTCATGACTCCTACTCAAAGAGCAGGTGGCAGTTGTGGCTAGGAGGGTCTTTGCGCAACTTTGGATTGTACGCCAGTTGCACCCATTCCTAGATCAGAGGGACCTACTCACAGTCACTCATGCCCTGGTCACCTCCCAGTTGGATTACTGTAATGTGCTCTACATGGGGCTGCCCTTGAAGAATATCCGGAAACTTCATCTGGTGCAAAATGCAGCGGCATGAGCAGTTATGTGAGTTTCTAGTAGAACACACATTACGCCTCTGCTTCATGAGCTGCATTTGGTTACCAGTTTGTTTCTGGGTCCAATTTAAGGTGCTAGTGTTGACCTTTAAAGCCCTTCATGGCATGGAGCCAGGCTATCTGAGGGACCCCCTCGTCCCGATTTCATCTGCCCATCCTACAAGATCCAGCAGAGAGGGCATGTTACAGGTTCCATTACCTAGGGAGGTACATTGGCAGGCCCCAGGCGGCAGGCCTTTTCTGCTGTGGCGCCTGCGCTGTGGAATCTTCTCCCCACAGAGGTGAGACTGGCCTCATCATTGTTGAGCTTCCAGAGGTCCCTTAAGACTTGGTTATGCCAGGGGACAGGGGAATTAGTGAGGTGGCTCCCTTATTTTTAACTTCCTTTTATTCTCTATTTTATTTTGTTTTATATATTTTTAATATTTTTAGCTTTGTTGTACACTGTCCAGAATCGCCTGTGGTGAGATGGGTGGCTATATAAATTGATTTAAATCAAATTTAATAAATAAATAAATAAATAAATGGGGGTGGCAGGAGGAATCCAACTGCAGAAGAGGCTGCTTAGAGAGTATCTGTCTAAAAGAATGCTTAAACTTAGATCCTAGTCATTATTTTAAAAGAAGAAAAACAAAGAGGAGGGGGAATGTGTCACAAAGTGAAAAAAATAAATAAAACAACATTGTCACAAAGTTCATAGGTGTACTCTTCAAAAGTTCTTGGCTGGGACCAATGACAGCTATAAGTGGAACTACAGCCTTCTTCCTTGGGCTGTGAGAACAGGGGTGTTAAAAGAGTCGAATCCATGTTAGGCAGATTTTCCAGCTAGCCTTAAACCAAAAATAACACCAGCAGTTTATATGTTTCTTTGCATACCTGCCTGCATGACGCTTTTCTTTATATGTATTTCAAATGTTCCTTTCCTTTTAGGAGTTTGTACATCACAACCTCAAGTTATCTTTCCCAAAGCATTTCACAAAATGGCTTTTTTAGAGGTGAAAAATACCAACCCAAACAACACAATCAAATATATGGCATAGTAAAATAATGGGAATGTCTACATGGGGGCTTTAACTAGTCTGCAGTTGATCAGTACAAAACTTTTTCTCCAGTTCAGCGAACATTAATACCTTGATAAACTGAAATAACAATTGGCCTTGATTGTGAATACAAGGGAACTCTTAATGCCAGTGACATTCTTAAACTGCAACATCCTTATCTTATTCACAAGAACAGGATGAGGCAAATCTGAATGAAAGATTCAAAGATTCAGTCATAAAGTGCAAGTTGCTGTGTTGATGGAAATCTGTGATCAGATCTCTGTGTTATTTTTAAAAAGAAATTGCCTGTGCAGCACGAGGGGAGCAGATTCAGTCATGAAGATGAAAATGGGGAAGAAAGTGTTCAACTTCTCTCCCTCCTAACAATGTAAATTGCCAAGCACCAGGGCACCTACAAGACATTTCCACCCCAGAGCAAACAGCAACTGAATCCACTGGCATCCACAGCAAACTGTCATTACTTGTGTATACATTGTGGCATATTTGTACAATGATGCCATTACATCTCATTTCCTGCCTTTCTTCCAGCCATCCTGCATATGGACAGCCATAACTGGGGGAGCAGGACATAAGCATGGAGGAAAGGAAGAGTACCCTCGTAGTACACAGAGATCTGGATGTTGTGAGCTGAACACAGGAACAGGAAAAGCACTGAGGCTAAACTGTATATTGTACCAGATGACATGTCTCCTATTCTTCAGAGCCTATGAGATTTCCAGAAGCAGTTTTGTTAGAAAGTTGCTGCTGGCCCAGAAAATTAAAATGTGTCTTACAGCTTGAGGAACTAAGTGTGAGTTTCCTTATGTAAGAAGCATGACTTCACAATAAAAAATGTATAGACAATAAATCTGTCATCTGAGTTGGTCTTTGCAACCATATTGGTCCATCAGAACATATTTTTAAAGCAAAACATTGGTAGGCCTGGACAGCAAGCTAGGTAGGACACATCGTTAGGCTGGACATCATACTTAACCAAAGGAGCAAAAAGGACCCTGGAAAGTAGTGTGGAAAACCCAACATTGGCCATGTTACAATTTGAGGAACAAGAAAATGTAATTTCATAATTAGGAGTTCTTTTCTTTCATGAATGACAGAATGTAAGAAATGTCAGAATGTCAGAATTACATGAATGAAATATGTAAGAATTTTCTTCAGACTACTTTT